TCTGCCGCCCGCATTCTCACCCGCACCCGATTCCCCCAGTCCTGGCCAGACTGCACTGGCTGCCTGTCCCAGAGAGGATCGACTTCAAGATCCTCACCCGTGTCTTCAAATCCCTCCACTCCTCTGCACCCCCCGACCTCTCTGACCTCCTCTCTCCTCAAAACAGTACCCGTTGCCTTCGTTCCTCCAGGTCTGGCCTCTACCTCATCCCCCAAGTCCTCTGCTCCACCCTCGGCAGCTGTGCCTTCGACACACCTGACCTCACACACCCACATACACACCCGACCTCACACACCCACTTACACACCCGAGCTCAGACACCCACCTACACACCCAATCTGAGACACTCTCCTACAAGGCTGTCCTCGCTGCTGTGTTGTGCTCAGGCCTGTGGCATCCCGGTTGCACAGGACATAGGGCTGTATGCACTACTGTGTAGTTAAAAAGGTCTGTGGCATCCCTTTTGCTCAGAACAAAGGGTTGTGCACACTGCTGTGGTATGCGCAGGCCTGTGGCGGCTCTACTGTACAGGACAAAGTACTGCTCATAGTACTGTGGTATGCACAGGCCTGTGATTGCCCTGCTGCACAGGACACAGGCCTGTCTGCATGGCGTTGGTGTGCGAAGACCTGTGGCAGTCAGCTTGCAATGGACACAGGGCTGTCTGCAATGCTATGGTATGCACAGGTCTGTGGTGGTCTTGTTTCACAGGACACAGGCTGTCCACACCGCTGTGGAGGCACGTAGGACTTGGCTGTCCTGATGAAGGGTCGTGGATCCAAAACGTTGACTTACTTTCCTTTCTCCATAGATGCTGCCTGACCTGCTGACTGTTCCCAGCGACTTCTGTTTTTGTCTTCAAGCATTCTATTCCTTTCTCCCTCATGTACCTATTTAGCTTCCCCTTAAATATATCTGTGCTATTTGCCTCCACAAATGTTCCACTTTCCCACTGCTCTCTGTGTGAAGAAATTTCTTCCAACTTCCCTATTTGATCTATTCTTGACTATTTTATGTTGATGGGCCCTGGTTTTGGTCTCCCCCACAAGTGGAAATATCTTCCTTATGTCTATTCTATCAAAACCTTTCATCATTTTAAAAACCTCTATCAGGCCACCCCTTACCCTCCTCTTTTCTGAGAAAAGAGTTCAAGTATGTTCAGCCTTTCCTGATAGGTATAACCTCTCAGTTCTGGGATCGAACGCCTTTTGGAAATCTAAATATATTACATATATAGTGTAAACATAAATATATTAAATATATAGTGGAGTCCTGTGGCTCAGTGGTTAGAGCACTCGCTTTGCAAGCGAGAGACCTGAGTTCAATTCCAGGCAGAGGGCGAAACCTTGGGCAAGTTTCCTTACTCCACACAGAGCCTAATAATAATCCCTCCAAAACCAAAAACAATAATAAATTGGTCATTTTCAATCTACGACTGTTTGTGGGACATTGCTGTGCGCAATTGGCTGCCGCGTTTGCCCACAAATATATAGTCAATTCACTTTACAGTGTGTTCTGTGAAGCGCTTTGGGACGTCCTCCCGACGTGAAAAGCGCTATATCAAATGCAAGGATTATTATTATTATTATTATTATTATCTATCGCATTCCCCTTGTCTACTCTTTCTGTTACCTTCAAATAATTCAATGAGGTTGGTCAAGCATGACCTTTCTTTTTGGAATCTGTACTGACTATTCTTTATTATGTTTTCCATTTCTAGATGTTTTTCTATTACCTCTTTCAGTAAGGATTCCATTATCTTTCCTACCCCTGATGTTAAGCTGACAGGTCTATAGTGCCCTGGGGTTGTTCTATCTCCCTTTTTAAATATAGGTATAACATTAGCTATGCTCCAGTCCTCTGGCACTACTCCCTTTTCTATTGAGTTATTATATATGTGTAATAGTGCCTCTGCAATCTTTTCCTTTGATTCTTTTAATATATGCGGATGCAAACCATCTGGACCAGGGGTTTTATCCTCTCTGAGTTTTGTTAGTTTTTCGATTATATCTCCCCTTTGTATCTTAAATGTACTTGTATGTATTATTTTTGATCTAGTCTTCTACTGTCATGTCCACCTGATCTATGTCTGTAGAATATTTTACTATTTCTTTTTATATTTCTTGATAATTTTATTTCATAATTCCTCTTTGCCTTCCTAATTATTTTTTGGACTATTTTCCTGACCTCTTCGTATTTTTGTTGCTGTTTATGTACCTTGTGAACCCTTCTTTCCTGAGTCTCAACGTTTCTCTTATGACGGTGTCTCATTATTATTTAAGCTTTGTCTTGCTTTTTAGCAGAATATATTTCTCCTGGACTATATTGATCACTGTTTTAAATGTTTCCCACTGCTGCTCTATCGCTTTGTTGCCAATATTGTTTTCCAGTTTATTTTCCCAAGTTCCATTCTCATCCCCTCAAAATCAGCTTTTTCCCAATCTATTACCCTGGTCTTTGTCATACTAATTTCCTTCTCAATCTTTATCTTAAACCTTATTAAGTTATGATCGCTATTGCCTAGATGTTCCCCTACTCGTACTTTTACCTGCTCTGGTTCATTTCCCATTACTAAATCCAGCAGGGATTTCCCCCTTCTTGGGCCGCTTACATACTGGGTAAGAAAAGAGTCCTGTACACATTGAAGGAACTCCATTCCCTTATCCCCTTAAACCTACCTTTTCTCATCAATAAATTTGGGGGTAGTTGAAATCTCCCATGATTTTTGCTCTATGTCTTTTACTCATTTCCCTAATTTGCTTGCATATTTCTTCCTCTACCCCCATTCCACCATTAGGTGGTCTGTAGAGTACCCCTATTTGTGTGATCGATCCTTTCTTATCTTTCATCTCTATCCACACAGATTCTGTTTCTAGCTCACTGTTGGCTACGTCCCTTCTTTCTACTGCCACAATGTTATCCTTAACGAGTACAGCTACTCCACCGCTCTTTTTCCCATCTCTATCCTTTTCCCATGTCTATCCTTTCTAAATACGTTATACCCTGCAATGTTTAATTGCCAGTCCTATTCTTTCTGTAGCCACGGTTCAGTAATCCCAATTATACCTTGTTCCTCACCACAAATTATTACCTCCAGTTTTCCTGTTTTATTTCAGATGCTGTGTACATTGCTGCACAGACAGTTTAATTCATCATTATTATAAATTGTTCCTCATTTTATTTTTGACAGCCTTTTTACACTTCTGTTCTATAATTGTATTAATTCCTTGACCATTTATAATCTCCTTATTTCTTATTTTTGTCTGGCTTGAGTCACTTCCTTCTAATCCCTCCCTGGCCTTTACTAGTTTAAAGCCTTTGCTCTGTTTATCCTTTCTGCTCGGACTTGGTCCCCTTTCTTCAGGTGGAGCCCATCCTATTTATACAGCTCCATATTGCTGCCAGCGTCCCCATGAAGTGGAACCCTTCTTTCCCACACCAATCCTTTAGCCACGTGTTAACTTTCCTAATCTGTTTCTCCCTATTCCAGTTCGCACATGGCTCAGGTAATAATCCAGATTATTACCCTCGAGGTCCTGTCTTTTAACTTAACTCCTAACTCCTAAAACTCCCTCTGCAGGACCTCCTCCCTGTTTTTTCCTATGTCGTTTATCCCAATATGGACCACAACAAGTGGATCTGGCCCTTCCCTTCCAAATTCCTCTTCAGCTCCTTCAGATCTATGGAGTGCCCGTGGCGGCCTTGCTGCACATAAAACAAGCTGCACACACTGCTGTGGTATGCGCTGGGCCAGTTGCACAGGACACGGGGCTGTGCATACTGCTGTGCCTTGCGCAGGTCTGTGGTGGCCGCTTGTACAGGATTATATTATATTGTATTATATTACGGCCCGCTCTGCCTTCCCCCACCTCCGGAACATCGCCTGACTCCTCCCCTCAGGCCACTGATATCCTCATACACCCATTTGTCATCTCAACGCTTGACTATGAAAACTCCCTCCACAAGCTACAGATCATCCAGAACTCTGCAACTTGTATCCTCTCCTGCACCAGGCTCCGTGAATCCATCATCCCCACCCTCGTCCGGCTCCTCAAAATCCTCACTTTCAAGGCCCTCCATGGCCTTGCCCCCTCCTACCTCTCTTCCTCCACTCAGCAGGCTCTGGCCTGCTCCATGTCTCCTGCCCGGCCTACCCTACCATCGGCGGCTGGGCTTTCAGCCTCTCTGACCCCACTCTTTCGAACTCCATCCCACAATCCCTTCACCCTGCTGCCTCCCTTGCTTGCATCATGACCTCCTTTTCAACCGTGCCTTCAGCTACCCTCCAACCTCTCTGCCATCCCTCGTCCCAACCCTACCCCTGCCACGGTCGGTTCCTGATCCCCGACAGTTCAGCACTTTGGGATGTCCTCCCGACGTGAAGGTGCTTTACAAATGTAATTTTATTATCGTTGTTTATATTTATATCCCTGTAGTTAATGAACAGCAACTGTTTAGCACAACAACAGAACCAGCAAAATCCTTTCTCCTTTCTGTGAGAACACTGACACTGTGACGAGCTCCTGTCTCAGAGCCTCCTGTCACTCACTGAGCTGCCAAACAGTCAGACTCTGGGGAACTGCAGCACATAACATGGACAGAGGAAAATCCGCTCCTGCATGTTATACAACTGGGGTATAGTTTGCCAGTTCAAGGCGCTGATTTAATGATAGCATCAGCGGCTCTGTGTTAACAACAAAATTATATTTGTAAAGCCCTTATTGCGTCGGGATGACATCCCAAGGCGCTGGACAGACAGAGTTAAGGACCTGAGCTGAGGGTTAGGGGAGGATGGACGGCAGGTTGGGAAGCAGGAGATCAAAAGTACGGTTGAAGAGGAGGTGGGTCTTGAAGGTGGCAAGACGGAGGGACTGCGGGCTGATGTTCCAGAGGGTGGGTGCAGAGCAATGTCCCACCCGCTGATAGTGGGGCGAGCGAGGCGGGGGGTGTGAAGCAGCCCACAGCCCACTGAACAAACAGGATGGTACAGGGTTAGGAGGTCAGGGGTCGGGGGTGATGCTGGTCTTCTTGCTGCCCGCCAGCTCCAGCACCTCAGCGATCAGATACTCGAGCACCGCGGCCACATAGACCGGGGCTCCGGCCCCCACGCCATCAGCGTAGTTGCCTTTACGGAGATGTCTGTGGACGCGGCCCACGGGGAACTGCAGTCCGGCCCGGGAGGAGCGGGACTTGGCCTGGGCCCGGGCTTCACCTCCAGTCTCCCCACGTCCTGACATCTTGACTAAGATTCCGACACCAACCAGAGCGGATTCTGTGCTTAAATAGGCTCCGAGCGTCAGGCCCTTCATTTCCTGCCCAATCAGATCTCCTCGCACTGCAGCCCCAGCCCCGGCCCCCACAGCACATCGGGCTCTCAGCCAATCACAGCACAGAGGCTGGGAGGCTGGGGATTGGTTGCCAACCCCCGGGGTCCCATTGGGGAACCGGTTATGCTAAAGAGGGATGAACGGACTGCTTTGCTGGGATTGGATGGCGATAATATATAAGAGGAGGTTCAGAACACTGCCCGACACTGTGTCGGTGGTATCAAGAGAGCAGAATGGCTGGTGAGGGCAAATCCGAGGGCAAAGCCGCTAAATCCGAGGGCAAAGGAGCGCCCAAAAAAGGCAGCAAGAAAGCGATTCGCAAACCGCAGACTGCGGGCAAGAAGCGCAGGAGGTCGAGGAAGGAGAGTTACTCCATCTACGTGTACAAGGTGATGAAGCAGGTCCACCCGGACACCGGCATCTCCTCCAAGGCCATGAGCATCATGAACTCCTTTGTGAATGACATCTTCGAGCGCATCGCGTCCGAGGCTTCCCGCCTGGCGCAGTACAACAAGCGCTCGACCATCACCTCCAGGGAGATCCAGACCGCCGTGCGCCTGCTGCTGCCCGGGGAGCTGGCCAAGCACGCCGTGTCCGAGGGCACCAAGGCCGTCACCAAGTACACCAGCTCCAAGTGAGGGCTCACAGTCACTCCATCTACACACAAAGGCTCTTTTCAGAGCCACACACCACCTCTCCGACAGAGCTGTAGCAAACGCGCCTTAAGCTGTGTGTGCAGTGCCCGTCCCCGCGGGACCACTGCCCTCTGTGGTTCCACAAGAGGGTCCCATCCGCCCTCAGCGGCGGATCCTCTCGGCCTTCAGCCCCAATGCCGTCAGCATCGTCAACGGTTTGGGAATCTTAAAGCGATTACAAACGATCCGCGTCCTTAATGTTCCCTTTTACTCGGATCGTGGAAATACTTTTGGGGCTTCTGATCGGTGGGGAAGGACTTTGTTGGGAGGAGCGTTTTGTTTAATTAAACGAAGTATGAAATCTTGATCGCGCTCCGCATTCAAACCGATTTTCAAGGATATTCAGGTGAAATAGTTGAAAAACATCAAAATCTCTCCTGGTAATGAGATCCGATTAGAAAAAGAATTAAAATGGCCATCAATCCGTGTAATGAGACGGAGGTAATATTCGCCTCTAAAGGACATTCACATTCACTCTCCTTTGTCTCCGTGAAATTGGCGCTTTCATCAATGGTCTGGAAAGGCTTCAGAGCCACCGGGTCAGCACAGGGGGCGCCACTGAGCCCCCTCCCCGGGTCAGCACAGGGGGCGCCACTGAGCCCCCTCCCCGGGGACACCGGGGCAGCACAGGGGGCGCCACTGAGCCCCCTCCCCGGGGACACCGGGGCAGCACAGGGGGCGCCACTGAGCCCCCTCCCCGGGTCAGCACAGGGGGCGCCACTGAGCCCCCTCCCCGGGTCAGCACAGGGGGCGCCACTGAGCCCCCTCCCCGGGGACACCGGGGCAGCACAGGGGGCGCCACTGAGCCCCCTCCCCGGGTCAGCACAGGGGGCGCCACTGAGCCCCCTCCCCGGGTCAGCACAGGGGGCGCCACTGAGCCCCCTCCCCGGGTCAGCACAGGGGGCGCCACTGAGCCCCCTCCCCGGGTCAGCACAGGGGGCGCCACTGAGCCCCCTCCCCGGGTCAGCACAGGGGCGCCACTGAGCCCCCTCCCCGGGTCAGCACAGGGGGCGCCACTGAGCCCCCTCCCCGGGGACACCGGGGCAGCACAGGGGGCGCCACTGAGCCCCCTCCCCGGGGACACCGGGGCAGCACAGGGGGCGCCCCTGAGCCCCCTCCCCGGGGCAGCACAGGGGGCGCCACTGAGCCCCCCTCCCCGGGGACACTGGGGCAGCACAGGGGGCGCCAGTGAGCCCCCTCCCCGGGGACACCGGGGCAGCACAGGGGGCGCCACTGAGCCCCCCTCCCCTCCCCCAAACCAACGGGGACACTGGTGCAGCACAGGGGGCGCCACTGAGCCCCCTCCCCGGGGACACTGGGGCAGCACAGGGGGCGCCACTGAGCCCCCTCCCCGGGGACACTGGGGCAGCAAAGGGGGCGCCAGTGAGCCCCCCTCCTCCCCCCCAAACCAACGGGGACACTGGTGCAGCACAGGGGGCGCCACTGAGCCCCCTCCCCGGGGACACTGGGGCAGCACAGGGGGCGCCAGTGAGCCCCCCTCCCCTCCCCCAAACCAACGGGGACACTGGTGCAGCACAGGGGGCGCCACTGAGCCCCTCCCCGGGGACACTGGGGCAGCACAGGGGGCGCCACTGAGCCCCCTCCCCGGGGACACTGGGGCAGCAAAGGGGGCGCCAGTGAGCCCCCCTCCCCCCCCCAAACCAACGGGGACACTGGTGCAGCACAGGGGGCGCCACTGAGCCCCCTCCCCGGGGACACCGGGGCAGCACAGGGGGCGCCACTGAGCCCCCTCCCCGGGGACACCGGGGCAGCACAGGGGGCGCCACTGAGCCCCCTCCCCGGGGACACCGGGGCAGCACAGGGGGCGCCCCTGAGCCCCCTCCCCGGGGACACTGGGGCAGCACAGGGGGCGCCAGTGAGCCCCCCTCCCCGGGGACACTGGGGCAGCAAAGGGGGCGCCAGTGAGCCCCCCTCCCCCCCCCCAAACCAACGGGGACACTGGTGCAGCACAGGGGGCGCCACTGAGCCCCCTCCCCGGGGACACTTGGGCAGCACAGGGGGCGCCACTGAGCCCCCTCCCCGGGGACACCGGGGCAGCACAGGGGGCGCCACTGAGCCCCCTCCCCGGGGACACCGGGGCAGCACAGGCGGCGCCACTGAGCCCCCTCCCCGGGGACACAGGGGCAGCACAGGGGGCGCTACTTAGCCCCCCTCCCCGGGGACACAGGGGCAGCACAGGGGGCGCCACTGAGCCCCCTCCCCGGGGCAGTACAGGGGGCGTCCCCTGTGCTGCCCCGGTGTCCCCGGGGAGGGGGCTCAGTGGCGCCCCCTGTGCTGCCCCGGTGTCTCCGGGGAGGGGGCTCAGTGGCGCCCCGGTGTCCCCGGGGAGGGGGCTCAGTGGCGCCCCCTGTGCTGACCCGGGGAGGGGGCTCAGTGGCGCCCCCTGTGCTGACCCGGGGAGGGGGCTCACTGGCGCCCCCTGTGCTGCCCCAGTGTCCCCGGGGAGGGGGGCTCAGTGGCGCCCCCTGTGCTGACCCGGGGAGGGGGCTCAGTGGCGCCCCCTGTGCTGCCCCGGTGTCCCCGGGGAGGGGGCTCAGTGGCGCCCCCTGTGCTGACCCGGGGAGGTGGCTCAGTGGCGCCCCCTGTGCTGACCCGGGGAGGGGGCTCAGTGGCGCCCCCTGTGCTGACCCGGGGAGGGGGCTCAGTGGCGCCCCCTGTGCTGACCCGGGGAGGGGGCTCAGTGGCGCCCCCTGTGCTGACCCGGTGGCTCTGAAGCCTTTCCAGACCATTGATGAAAGCGCCAATTTCACGGAGACAAAGGAGAGTGAATGTGAATGTCCTTTAGAGGCGAATATTACCTCCGTCTCATTACACGGATTGATGGCCATTTTAATTCTTTTTCTAATCGGATCTCATTACCAGGAGAGATTTTGATGTTTTTCAACTATTTCACCTGAATATCCTTGAAAATCGGTTTGAATGCGGAGCGCGATCAAGATTTCATACTTCGTTTAATTAAACAAAACGCTCCTCCCAACAAAGTCCTTCCCCACCGATCAGAAGCCCCAAAAGTATTTCCACGATCCGAGTAAAAGGGAACATTAAGGACGCGGATCGTTTGTAATCGCTTTAAGATTCCCAAACCGTTGACGATGCTGACGGCATTGGGGCTGAAGGCCGAGAGGATCCGCCGCTGAGGGCGGATGGGACCCTCTTGTGGAACCACAGAGGGCAGTGGTCCCGCGGGGACGGGCACTGCACACACAGCTTAAGGCGCGTTTGCTACAGCTCTGTCGGAGAGGTGGTGTGTGGCTCTGAAAAGAGCCTTTGTGTGTAGATGGAGTGACTGTGAGCCCTCACTTGGAGCTGGTGTACTTGGTGACGGCCTTGGTGCCCTCGGACACGGCGTGCTTGGCCAGCTCCCCGGGCAGCAGCAGGCGCACGGCGGTCTGGATCTCCCTGGAGGTGATGGTCGAGCGCTTGTTGTACTGCGCCAGGCGGGAAGCCTCGGACGCGATGCGCTCGAAGATGTCATTCACAAAGGAGTTCATGATGCTCATGGCCTTGGAGGAGATGCCGGTGTCCGGGTGGACCTGCTTCATCACCTTGTACACGTAGATGGAGTAACTCTCCTTCCTCGACCTCCTGCGCTTCTTGCCCGCAGTCTGCGGTTTGCGAATCGCTTTCTTGCTGCCTTTTTTGGGCGCTCCTTTGCCCTCGGATTTAGCGGCTTTGCCCTCGGATTTGCCCTCACCAGCCATTCTGCTCTCTTGATACCACCGACACAGTGTCGGGCAGTGTTCTGAACCTCCTCTTATATATTATCGCCATCCAATCCCAGCAAAGCAGTCCGTTCATCCCTCTTTAGCATAACCGGTTCCCCAATGGGACCCCGGGGGTTGGCAACCAATCCCCAGCCTCCCAGCCTCTGTGCTGTGATTGGCTGAGAGCCCGATGTGACGTAGAGACAGGGGGCTGGGGCTGCAGTGCGAGGAGATCTGATTGGGCAGGAAATGAAGGGCCTGACGCTCGGAGCCTATTTAAGCACAGAATCCGCTCTGGTTGGTGTCGGAATCTTAGTCAAGATGTCAGGACGTGGGGAGACTGGAGGTGAAGCCCGAGCCAAGGCCAAGTCCCGCTCCTCCCGGGCCGGACTGCAGTTCCCCGTGGGCCGCGTCCACAGACATCTCCGTAAAGGCAACTACGCTGATGGCGTGGGGGCCGGAGCCCCGGTCTATGTGGCCGCGGTGCTCG